CAGTCACAAGCCTCCCGGTTTTCATCCAAAATATCTTAAATTGTGTTCCGAAGATGAACAAAGCTTTTACGTGTTTGGAACGACATGGGGGTAAAGTGATTAATGACAACATTTTGATTTTGGGGTGGCGTAACCCTTTAACAGCTGAGTTTGTGTAAGATGTTGCACAACACATCGCTGTCACTGAGAATACTTATTTCTCTGAATAAGTATAAGATTGGTGTGCTGTAGTTTGCAGCAGTTTGAAAATATAGTTATTAATAAATTTGGATGGATCTCTGTTATCTCTCTTTGTTTCACCCACTGCTGCTGCATCCGGAGGTCATAAGGAATTTTTATGGCAGTTACAAGCCAAACCTTAGGAATCAGTCTCTTGGTTGGTGAAGGGCAGAAACTGCATTTTGAACAAAGAGAAGTCCTGTCCTTCCCGGGCTTGGTACCAGAGGTCTTCTTGCCCTCTAAAGGCCCTTTCACACGGGACGCAGCAAGCGGTGGAATTGCTGCGCGGCTGCCGCTTTCTCTTGAAGTGGAAGCGTTTTGCGCAGTTGAGGCAGTGGTCACGTTGCGGTCTCGAAAGCGGACGTTGCCATAGTTACAATTGTCAACATCACCTTTGTATTTACTAAAAACAAAATAAAACATAACGGAAATTTGTGTTGTTTTTTTTTCGTTTGGCACAAGTGAAGTTGTTTTGATGATTTGCATAAAGAGCATACCTGTGAGGTTACGATTGAATGAAATATAAATTTTATTTATGTCTCTGAATGAGATTTTAGATGGGTCATACAGTTCTGGGAAATCTATTACACTTAAAACAATCTTCTCCTCTATTTTACAAATAGGCAGTTCAGTTAAATGTTCACTGATTGGTTGAAACCGACGCGGCTGCCGCTGCCGCTCACAAAAAGATAAAATATTTTTATCTTTGGCAGCGCCTGCCGCGAAGCGCAATGCCCGTGGAAGCGACAGGATTTTGGGTGCACGAGCACCGATTGCGCTCCGCCTCCGCGCCGCCAGCGAAACCGCACGCTTTCCGCACACTCGCGACTGCCGCGTACAGTGTGAAAGGGCCTCAAGAGGTGTATGGCTGCCGTCCTAGCATCTTCATCTGATGGCGTTGGACAGTTTGCTTATGTTAGTCCACCATTCAAAATGTAGCAAACCTTTGCCCAGTGTTGTATTCAGAGAGGGGCCCCACCATTACCTGGGCCCTGGAATGTGCTGTTCAAAACACACACATTTATATCCAGTGTGGGTATAAAAAAAGAACGCATCGTTAGTTCTTTGTCTGTGTACTCTGGTTAAAAAAGGTAGGGTAGGGTGAAAAACTCCCATCTCATTTTCTCCTCCAACTTCAAAATCATCAGACATCGTTGTTTTACCTTTTTTATTGTAAAGGGCGTTTGACTTTCTTTGCAATTTCGCTTTGTAAACACTGGGTCAGTACTTCTGCCTACGTCACGCGTGACCTTTCCAACATGACTACGTAATGCGTGAAGTTGAGCTAGTGTAAGACGAGCATTTGTGGTTAAAAAGTATATACATTTATATTTTTGAACAGCTTGGATGACATGGGGGTGAGTAAATTATCAGGAAACTTTTATTCTGGAAGTGAACTAATCCTTTAGCAGAACACAACATATAGACCAGGGGTGTCAAACTCAATTCCTGGAGGGCCGGAGCCCTGCTGAGTTTAGATTCAACCCTAATTAAACACACCTGATTAAACTAATCAAGTCCTTCAGGATTATTTGAAAACTACATGGGTATGTGTGTTTGAACAAAACTCCCTAATATGATAACAAGAAGCCATATTAGTATCGATTATAAACGAGAACTGTTAACGATAAATCAGCTGACAGCTTTACCTGTTGTAGTTTGTTTAAGCTCCCGAAATAGACACTGCTTTTCTGCACTTTTACTTTGTACATCTCCGCTCTCTCAGACAGTTTGAAAGTCTTTTTTCCACTAAAACTATGCACATCTTCTCAGTTTATTACGTCAAAATAACAAAATATGTGATCGCAACACAAGTAGGAAAAAAGGCATTACATGCACATTTTTAAGTCATAACATGTAAATTTACATAGTCGCCACTCGCTAGAGGCAATCTCAGCAAAAATATCACTCACAAATTAATATTTTTGGTCGCAAATGCGACTGTTCTAGGCACAGTCTGGAGCCCTGTATATTACATTTTGTTTTAGTTAAATGATAATAACCCTGCTACAGGCAATAATTTTGACCCCTGTTTGAGTATAAATGAATGTACAAATTTGCAGTAATTCATTTACTTTATTGGACTTCTTTTGAACTGTTGAACAGAAACACCCGCCCCCTGCCATTATAAAGCTTGGAAGATCCAGGACAATTTTTAATATAACTCCGATTGGATTCGTTTGTAAGAAGAAAGTCATATACACCTAGGATGCCTTGAGGGTGAGTAAATCATGGACTAATTTTCATTTTTGGGTGAACTATCCCTTTAAGAGACCATTTTGCTATAATAAAAATGCAAAACTAGTCCAAGAAGAACATCCAAGACATACACTTATTTAGGGTTAGATTTAGGGTCATCTCTTTTTCTTAGATTTTAGCAGAGGTGTTTGTGTTGCACATCATAGAAGATAATGTTAGCATCCGATAATTTTAACTGTTGGAGAAAACTGGTTAATTTTAAGCTTTTTTTGCACTATTTTCATCTTCCGGGTTTAAAATCTACATCGTGTTGACGTCACAATTTGTGACGTGGCAAAGGACTATAGTACATCGATGACGCGTCGGTGTCTATTAAATTATTCATGAGACTGCATGTTCTTATCCTATGAAAAGACGCTTCGCTTCATTATTCACAACAGCATGTGTTGATTTGCTATGACAGACCCTTCAGACTGTGAGATCGCGTACATTATCTGAGAGAAACCTTCATGGATCGAAGAAGAGTGTTTGGTTTTGCTTTGTAATAAGAGTTCGGCACAAACGCGATTCATTCACTTAGTGAGCGTAACCATTTTTACAGCTCCGTGACACAATCCGTCAAAAGGCTTATATAAACGCCGCATAATAAGCCTTAAAAGTGATCAGAGGTGCAAAAGCGCATTCATATATATGTTTTCGATGGAGAGTGCAAATGGCTGTGCATTTATTTGAGTTTTTAACTTGATGGGAGCGCAATGAAACTTTCTGAACGCGAAGCTGTGTGTGTTGTCTGTCTCCCCTCTTCCCCCTCCACTCCGCACCACTTTTTTAGTGTTTTTTAAAACTGTGGTGAGAACTAACCAGTGCTGAAACAGGGGGTTTCATGACCCTTTAATGCACCTGTTCCTGTAAAAATAACAACTTATAAACATTTCAAACTCTGCACTGCTGCTATTGGCCAGCAGAGGATGCTCACATGCTTTTCTGAGGAACAGTCCAACAAAACAAAAACCTTCTCAAAATTAAGCACAAAAAATTTGATGTCCACTTAATGAATAAGCAAAAGAAAATATTGTGAAATCACTGCAATGCAGAGCATTGAAATTATATATAAAAAAAATGAACTAAGCATTCATTTTTTTAATAATGGGAGCAAAAGCAATATGATAAAAGGCAGTTCAGTAATATGTAATAATTAAATTATTATTATTACTATTATTAATAATATTTTATAGGTATTAAAAATATGGGAACAAAAGCAATAAAATGAGACACCCAACTTCACTAATAAATACTTAGTCAATAATAATAATAATAATAAATTAATTCGCTTAATTGTAGATTATGGTTTTATTGCAATGTAGCAACGTAGAGTTAATATGAAGGCACAATAACAGAATTCAAATCATGTGTGTTCACAAGTGTGGGAATAGCTGGCTAACTTATTTGAAATGTGGCTCATCCATTCAGAATTTACCGAACCATTTATCATCCAAAGAATACTCCATGTAATACACCAATTTCCTTTTCATGTCATGAAACCAAATAGTATTTCACAATTCAAAATTGTTACAAGACTATCTGGTAAAAAAAAATAAATAAAAATCCTCTTTCTTCTCTGCTGTAGCTCATTTCCTAAACTAGCTTTCTAACAAACCTGCCACTGTATAAGAATATTGTTGGTTCTGTGAAAAACGCTTATGTTCCTCTATTGTAAGTCTGTTTGAACAAAAGTGTCTGCTAAATGCATGAATATAAATAAGATATATCGATTACCATGACAATCTGAAAAGTTGGGAAAAGGAGAAATACATAAAATGTATATGTTGTGAAGTATTTGATGGTTATGAATGGAGTGGGCAGAGAGTAAAATCTCATCCATGCAATGAGCTGAGGGAGTGTGAGGAGACAGATGGTGTGCTGCTGCCATGCTGTGGACAGGAAGTCTCACCTGAAAGGAGAGCTTGGCAGGGCTGCGTGGAGCGATTGGACTGAGAGTGCTCCAGAAGTGAATGGTTGATGGCAGCGGACTCGGTGTCAACAGCACTGGAGTCTGAGAGAGAGAGAGAGAGAGAGAGAGCGAGAGAGAGAGTTGAAGAGTTTGTTCGTATGTGTGTGTGTGTGTGTGTGTGTGTGTGTGTGCATGAACCATTTTACAAGGTCATTGTGTTGTATCTCTTTGTTCTTGGTTATCTGGTAATACAAGCATTTATATCGCACTGGCTTTGTTAAAAATCACATTGAGACTGTATGAATAAGAGCTTGGTACATGGAAAGCATCCATTCATACCACACAAACACCATTGTTGCCTTAGGAAAGAAAATGTGTGTGTGTGTGTGTGTGTGTGTGTGTGCATGAACCATTTTACAAGGTCATTGTGTTGTATCTCTTTGTTCTTGGTTATCTGGTAATACAAGCATTTATATCGCACTGGCTTTGTTAAAAATCACATTGAGACTGTATGAATAAGAGCTTGGTACATGGAAAGTCATACCTCATACCACACAAACACCATTGTTGCCTTAGGAAAGAAAAAAAAAAAAAAAAAAAAAAAAAAAAAAAAAAGAAGATATTTCTGATAATTATCAAAAGTATGGCACAAGCAGAGATCTAGCTAGCTCTTAAAAACACCCAAGCATGACTCCATTGAAAGACTGAAAGATAATGCTGAAGCTCTTTGATCAGTCATTTAACAGTCATCTCTTTGTGCCTTCTATGTGGCAAAAGAGCACATTGTGTTGAAGTCAGGGCTGTCAACTGTTTTCTGAGGTGTTTATGTGGGTTTTCGTCTTAGTAATGCAATTGCAAGCAGCAATAATCAAATTCCACCAAATAGTGCTTTTGTTAAATTTGTTAACAGAATTAAATGCATTTAAAAGGCAAATATTTACATTTTAAAATTTAGCACGTTTTAAACAACCATAATACTGAACTGAATGGCTCACCAGGGCATGGGAGGTGATGACTGTGGGTGTTAAGGTGTTTGTGGCACTGCCAGAGGCCAGCAGGCTGTTCACTGCTGCATTGACCTTATCCAGTGAGAGTCCAGGGGGCAGCAGCGTAGACGAAGATGGCAGTTCCAGCACTCGGGGCTTCTTTGATTTAGGAGGCTGTACTTCCTGCGTGCTTGCTGGGAGGGAGGCTGATGCAGTATTGGTGTCCTCTAAAAACAGATTTGAATGAGCGGCTGAAATTGATGATTGATTTTTAAGCAATGTGGGTTTTGTTGACCTATAACCATGTCAAATAACTGTAAAGGATTGCTTGGAGAGGCTTATTGCTTTTATAAAAAGGAATGATCAGCAATATGATTAAAGAAATCATCATTTGATAATTAATTTATTATTAATAACCACAATAAATAAATAATTCTTCTGCCAAGTAATATACATTACTGTTCAAAAGTTTGGGGGGGTAGTAATTTTTTTTTTTTTTTAGGGAAATTAATACGTTCAATATTCAGCAAGTATGCATTGATTTGATCAAATGTAACAGTAAAGACATTTATAATGTTACAAATTATTTCTATTTCAAATAAATGCTGTTCTTTTGAACTTTCTATTCATCAAAGAATCCTGAAAAAATGATATATACATTTCCACAAAATATGAAGGAGCACAACTGTTTTCAACATTGACAATAATAAAATATGTTTCTTGATAGTCAAATCAGCATAATTAGAATGTTTTTCTGAATGATCATGTGACACTGAAGACTGGAGTAATGGTGGCTGAAATAAAATACATTTTAAAATATATTCAAATAGAAATCAGCTATTTTAAGTTGTAGTAATATTTAACAATGTTTCTCTTTTTACTGTATTTTTGATTAAATAAATCTAGTCTTGGTGAGCATTTTGTTCAAATAAATTTAAAAAATCTCACTGATCCCAAACTTTCGAACGGTATTGTAGTTAATTACCGTAACAGTAGGCTGTTTTTGGTTGCCAAGAAACTTGAGATTTTGAAATGGACCTTAATTGATATCCCTTTTATAAGTTGAACAAAAAATGCTAAGGAATGTGTTACCACTTACACAAAGATTTGCTTGTAATTTATAAACTTAGTAAACCTAAAAACAGACTAGAACAATCAACTGCTATGAACCTCACCAGCTCTTTAATGCATTAACAACCTGAACTTTTAACTAACCGGGTAGCTCAGGCTTCTCTTTCACTTCCCCTTCTCCAACCGGCTGGGATACTGGCTCCACACAGGGTGATGGAGCATCCACAGGGATAGGGGCATCTGTAACTCCAGGGACAGGCACTGTGGACACTGGCTGAGCATGGCAATAAATAAAATAAATAAAAAGCTAAATTACTCTCGCATTTAATTACAGCCAAACATGTTTAACATTTTTTGGATGTTATACACTGAATGATTTATAACTGACACGTTTGTTCACCTCAACATCTGTTTTGTCATCCAAATGGACAATCTCCAGCAAGTCGTCTTCAGGCGGGAGGCTGGACTCTTTGGGCAGCCCGACTGGCGAAGGCTTTATGACCACAAACACAGGCTGAGAATGGTTGACTATACATTCTCCATGAGCTAGAGGAATGAGCGAGGTCAGAGAGCTGGAATCAGACAGGTAGATCTGGGGTGGGTCACCCAAACTCTGGCTCTTCTGTGCTTGAGTATTCTGTGGGATGAATTTAAAACAACATTTTTTATGCACATAAGTCTTGATAATAACAGTATTTAACATGGGTGTTGGATATTTGGATTGCAAGTTGATTAGCTGATCTTTAATGTATTTTACAGGAATCTGGGTCAATAAGCTTTTTATAAATCTGCCAAACAATTTCATGTTGACTAGGAGGCTACAATGAGTGCTTCAATGAGCAAAGACTAATTTGTATCTTACTTCCATAGTGTGACATATTTTTAAGTGCAACAAGAAAAATGTGCTTGATTTTATTCACTGGAGAAAGGGCTTGCTTGACTGTGATGCCATTTCTGACACTGACGCTGAGATTCATTGCAAAACTTAAACGACTGCCATCCAGTTTGAAGAAAATTATTCATTCATGAATAGAGGGAGAGAGGGAGGTTGTGTATGTATGAATGACCACCGTTTTGCCACGTTTCTCTATTAACAGTGAAGCTGTGGCTTTAATTCCTTTAGAAACAATGATGCTACCAGCTCCTTGTTGAGAAAGATAATGTAGCTCTTGAGCGATTAAGCTATTTAGTTGATAAAACTGCGGGGCAGTGCTAAAAAGTTTGTTCCTGAATGTCTGAGTTCGGCCGCAACGTGATCTGTGTGTGTGACTAAACTTCACATCAAACTGCTTCTGTTTCACACAAATGCTGGCACAGACGTGCATGTTCGGCTAGAGTCGCTTTGAACTCGTGCATCTTCGGAAGCGGAGCTGTGCGGAAAGTTACAAAAAATGTCGTGCACACCGCCACGCGAAACGACGTCGCGCACACTCAAAGCGAACTTCCGCCAAAAATATTTGCCGCGCGCACTCAAAGCGAACTTGCGGACGCGTCGAGCATAAATCAGAAAAAAAAAAAAAAAAAAAAAAAAAAAAAAAAAAGAAGATATTTCTGATAATTATCAAAAGTATGGCACAAGCAGAGATCTAGCTAGCTCTTAAAAACACCCAAGCATGACTCCATTGAAAGACTGAAAGATAATGCTGAAGCTCTTTGATCAGTCATTTAACAGTCATCTCTTTGTGCCTTCTATGTGGCAAAAGAGCACATTGTGTTGAAGTCAGGGCTGTCAACTGTTTTCTGAGGTGTTTATGTGGGTTTTCGTCTTAGTAATGCAATTGCAAGCAGCAATAATCAAATTCCACCAAATAGTGCTTTTGTTAAATTTGTTAACAGAATTAAATGCATTTAAAAGGCAAATATTTACATTTTAAAATTTAGCACGTTTTAAACAACCATAATACTGAACTGAATGGCTCACCAGGGCATGGGAGGTGATGACTGTGGGTGTTAAGGTGTTTGTGGCACTGCCAGAGGCCAGCAGGCTGTTCACTGCTGCATTGACCTTATCCAGTGAGAGTCCAGGGGGCAGCAGCGTAGACGAAGATGGCAGTTCCAGCACTCGGGGCTTCTTTGATTTAGGAGGCTGTACTTCCTGCGTGCTTGCTGGGAGGGAGGCTGATGCAGTATTGGTGTCCTCTAAAAACAGATTTGAATGAGCGGCTGAAATTGATGATTGATTTTTAAGCAATGTGGGTTTTGTTGACCTATAACCATGTCAAATAACTGTAAAGGATTGCTTGGAGAGGCTTATTGCTTTTATAAAAAGGAATGATCAGCAATATGATTAAAGAAATCATCATTTGATAATTAATTTATTATTAATAACCACAATAAATAAATAATTCTTCTGCCAAGTAATATACATTACTGTTCAAAAGTTTGGGGGGGTAGTAATTTTTTTTTTTTTTTAGGGAAATTAATACGTTCAATATTCAGCAAGTATGCATTGATTTGATCAAATGTAACAGTAAAGACATTTATAATGTTACAAATTATTTCTATTTCAAATAAATGCTGTTCTTTTGAACTTTCTATTCATCAAAGAATCCTGAAAAAATGATATATACATTTCCACAAAATATGAAGGAGCACAACTGTTTTCAACATTGACAATAATAAAATATGTTTCTTGATAGTCAAATCAGCATAATTAGAATGTTTTTCTGAATGATCATGTGACACTGAAGACTGGAGTAATGGTGGCTGAAATAAAATACATTTTAAAATATATTCAAATAGAAATCAGCTATTTTAAGTTGTAGTAATATTTAACAATGTTTCTCTTTTTACTGTATTTTTGATTAAATAAATCTAGTCTTGGTGAGCATTTTGTTCAAATAAATTTAAAAAATCTCACTGATCCCAAACTTTCGAACGGTATTGTAGTTAATTACCGTAACAGTAGGCTGTTTTTGGTTGCCAAGAAACTTGAGATTTTGAAATGGACCTTAATTGATATCCCTTTTATAAGTTGAACAAAAAATGCTAAGGAATGTGTTACCACTTACACAAAGATTTGCTTGTAATTTATAAACTTAGTAAACCTAAAAACAGACTAGAACAATCAACTGCTATGAACCTCACCAGCTCTTTAATGCATTAACAACCTGAACTTTTAACTAACCGGGTAGCTCAGGCTTCTCTTTCACTTCCCCTTCTCCAACCGGCTGGGATACTGGCTCCACACAGGGTGATGGAGCATCCACAGGGATAGGGGCATCTGTAACTCCAGGGACAGGCACTGTGGACACTGGCTGAGCATGGCAATAAATAAAATAAATAAAAAGCTAAATTACTCTCGCATTTAATTACAGCCAAACATGTTTAACATTTTTTGGATGTTATACACTGAATGATTTATAACTGACACGTTTGTTCACCTCAACATCTGTTTTGTCATCCAAATGGACAATCTCCAGCAAGTCGTCTTCAGGCGGGAGGCTGGACTCTTTGGGCAGCCCGACTGGCGAAGGCTTTATGACCACAAACACAGGCTGAGAATGGTTGACTATACATTCTCCATGAGCTAGAGGAATGAGCGAGGTCAGAGAGCTGGAATCAGACAGGTAGATCTGGGGTGGGTCACCCAAACTCTGGCTCTTCTGTGCTTGAGTATTCTGTGGGATGAATTTAAAACAACATTTTTTATGCACATAAGTCTTGATAATAACAGTATTTAACATGGGTGTTGGATATTTGGATTGCAAGTTGATTAGCTGATCTTTAATGTATTTTACAGGAATCTGGGTCAATAAGCTTTTTATAAATCTGCCAAACAATTTCATGTTGACTAGGAGGCTACAATGAGTGCTTCAATGAGCAAAGACTAATTTGTATCTTACTTCCATAGTGTGACATATTTTTAAGTGCAACAAGAAAAATGTGCTTGATTTTATTCACTGGAGAAAGGGCTTGCTTGACTGTGATGCCATTTCTGACACTGACGCTGAGATTCATTGCAAAACTTAAACGACTGCCATCCAGTTTGAAGAAAATTATTCATTCATGAATAGAGGGAGAGAGGGAGGTTGTGTATGTATGAATGACCACCGTTTTGCCACGTTTCTCTATTAACAGTGAAGCTGTGGCTTTTTATTATTTATGGGCTTAAAAACAAGATGCAAACAATCAGAATATTGTACCTGGTGGGGAGTGCCCAATGTAAACATGAAACATATGCTATTACCTATATTGTACTGTGGTACAGTTATGGAGGCCCTTCATAATGCAGAGGTCAGCTGCCTGCTCTGCCAATAGTTAGAAATGTCACTATAGTAAGCAGTGTTTAATAAACAGCTGTTTTTCTCAATTCTGCTGAGGTGAAATTCAGTGCAGTCATGTATCGTGATACGTATCGTATCGTGGCCTATGTATCGTGATACGTACCGTATCGTGACTTTGCTGGTGATACACAGCCCTAGTCATCAGCATCGTAAATCGTCGAAAGTTTTCCTATTTGTATTTGTTTAAAAATTAATGTACATTTATAATACTATTCTTTGTATTTGATCACCTTTGCATCAAATTACAAAAAAACAGTTAACGCTAATGCGAGGGTGTTTCTAAAGCAGCGTCTATGGGAGGGACGGTAAATTTGACATCATTCTCTCATCTGACTGCCGTTATCAGTCTCTCTCAATTTTTTTCTTTTATTGAAAGTCACGAAAACACTATCGTGGAGTTTTCCTTTTGCCATTTGAGCAAATGGGAATGCAAAAAATATATTTGTGGTACTCTCCCATTCATTGCTCTTCAAGTTAACCCAACTATGACGACTTCCGCTGCTGAGAAACCCGGAAATGTGAAAAGGGTCCATTGTTTGCGATCGTGGTTGCTGAATAAATGCACTTTTGCAGCCTCTGTGCCACAAAGTCTTTTTTATCATTGTTTTAATAGAAAAACATTAATATAATTTGGAATTATTAGAGTTAATATTAGAAATGTCATTGTTGTAGTTTTTGAGACAAGCTTTTGAGTTTTACCAATTTTCATAACGCATAGAAAAAATGATAATTTAATAAATCTAAATGAGGTCAAATAAACCATGTGCATGAGCTGACATTCTCTGACAACAATCATGATCAGTAATCACAGTTATAATTCTGAGCAAAAAACTGTAATTATCAGTTGAACCATTATGCAGCATGCAGCACTAAAATATGTTTTTATTAACTAAAACTAGACTAACAACTACAAATTGACTAAACAAAAAACTGGATAGGTTGATTAAATATGATGAAAACTAAAAAGGACATTTGACAAAGGACTAAGACTAATACTAAACTAAAAACCAGCTAACAAAATGAACACTACTGCCATGGGTGATGCCACACTAATCGATTAAAGACTGACGATTTTGCCTACAGCAAAAAATCTTACATGATTCCCAAATGTTGACACCATCATCTTAGCTAAAATCGCACAGCTTTACGCATTTAAAGACTGTGTCTGGATGTGTGTTAAAGAGTGAATCCATACCGTGGTTGCCATGGCAGATCCAGAGGACGTCTGTGGGCTGAGGGCGGGAGTAGCACATGGGGACGGGTGGGTCACTATCACCTGCAGACTGCTGCTCTCTACAGCCGACTGGGCCTGAACAGTTCCCTGCTGTCCTTCTGTCTGACACATTCGCATCTGCGCCATACACACAAAATCACTGTGAATCAAATACTTGACACACAAGGTTTGCCTCACAAGGTTTTGGAGGTTTAAACATTGATAACTCATTTAACTGATGGCTTATGTCATCTGAGAGGATTTATTACAGAATGAAAAGCATCAGCTCTAAAACAAAAACATAAAATCCAGAAAGAAGCTGACCTCATGCACTGTGCAGTCCAGAGGGGCAGGATTGGGGCTGCAGTCACTCAGGACGTGCTCTGTTTTGATGAATTTGGATGTGGTTTTGTAGGGCGTCTGCAGGGACTGGATAGTGAAAGTGGAGTAGAGACCAGACTTCATGTAATCGTTGCGGGAGCTGCGTTGCACTGAGCTAGGAGAGGAGTGCTGAACCTGCAGGCTCTTGGAGAGACACGGGTTGGTGGTGTTAGATTTGGTCTGAATGGAAAGCTCCAATTTCTCCCCTGTAGTGGCCCTCTGGGAATCCTCAGGCCCTTTCAGCCCATCAGCAGAGTTGGGATCCGGAAAGGTCACAAACTTGTAGACAAACTTCTGGCCGCTAACTTTCTTAATAATATTCTGTGGAAGTATGAAAGCTTGATGAGAAATGTGGCTAAACAATAATATGCACTTGACATTAAACATTAATTCAAGTTCCAATCTTAAGCGTTTTTCTAGCTTTTTCATAGTAGTTAGACAGTAAAAATCACAGAATTATTCATATTTATGGATAAATACTAGTGATGGACCAAATTATTGTCCAGGCTCATTAATTGGTTAACATTTTTTGAGTAAATGTTGAGTAAATAATGTTTAATTTAACTTCATTTATTTAATCTAATTTAATATCAATAAAATGTATTACTGTATGTCAAATATATACACTAGTGTTCAAAACTTTGGGGTTGGTAAGATTTCTTCATGTATTTGATTAAAAACATAGTAAAAACAGTGATATTGTGAAACATTATTATAATTTAAAATAACAGTTTTCTATTTGAATATATTTTTAAATGCAATTTAAAAATATCCTGTAATACAAAGCTGAATTTTCAGCATCATTACTCCAGTCTTCAGTATCACATAATCCTTCAGAAATCATTCTAATATGCTGATTTGCTGCTCAAGAAACATTTCTTATTATTTTCAATGTTTAAAACAGTTGTGCTGCTAAACATTTTTGTGGAAAACCATGATACATTTATTCAGGATTCTTTGATGAACAGAAAGTTCAAAAGAACAGCATTTATTTGAAATAGAAATCTTTTGTAACATTATAAATGTCTTTACTGTCACGTTTGATCACTTTATTGCATTCTTGTGGAATAAAATGTAAGCTCTTTAAAAGAAAAAAAAAAACGTACCTAAATTTTAAACCCAAAATTTTAAACAGTAATGAATATATCAAATAAACTGATTAAGTCCATGATTCACATCCATAGTTACTCTTGTACATACCTTGTCATAGTAGTAACGAAGTGCCCTGCTCAGTTTATCATAGTTCATGTTGGTTTTGTTCTTGCGCAGCCCCCAGAGTCTGGCCACCTCCTCGGCATCCAGCAGTTTGAACTCTCCATCCCCAGATGTCCAGGAGATCAAATGCTTCTGACTCTGATCATCCAGCAGGTGTAGCAGGAACTGCCACAATGTAATGGACGGATCCATTGCTACAGGGGACAAAAAACAGACTGTGATAAATGGGCAGTGTTTATGACCTATTGGCTACAGTTCAGGGGTGGCAAGTGCTTAGTACCATAATAATAATGTGTAAGATTTGAAAAAGTTCAAGTTAGTACTAAATAAACATAAAACAACCCGCAATTACTAATGTTTTCACTGAAATACACACTGATATATGTGTCGGTTTTGATAAGGTCTGCTTGTAAAATATTGCACCATAAAGCCATAAGTGCTGTGAAAACAAGAGATATTGGTTTTACTAGCTATGTTTCTAAAAAAATACTGCATCAAATATACCTAGAACTCATTGCCATGTGAAGTATGTTCTGGAACTGAAGCCATGTTAGAAAAAAAAAAGTCTTTTTGGGATTTAACAGAATCCAACATCCACTGAAATCAAATTCACATCCTCAGTACAGTAAATTAAATCCTCTTGCTTCATAGTTGGATTGAGTAGAAGAGCATAAACGGAGAGTGAACATTAAATCTGCAGTGAAATCAAGGGAAAACAGGCAAGAATTAATGGTGCTACCGTCAGCAGAGGACGTGTATCACTAGTTCAGGAAGAACATGTTGAGAATGCAAATTAACCCTATTAACATCCCTACCCCCCCCTTCATTTACGTAACTCATAAGCAACACCTTAGAAACGATCACCATGATAAAAGCATTTAAGCAACAGTTTCTAAGGAATAAAAAATACCCCACCACCCTTTAAGCACACTGAAGCAATTAAATTGCAGTGAATTGCTGATGACAATGAAGGGAACTGTTTTCATTTTAACCCAGCACATAAAATCTCATTAATTTATACAATCATTAAAACGAGCTGTAAGTGATTGAGTGAGTGCATTCATTAGCAGTAAAATGTCTTTAAAGGGATCATATGATGCGATTTCAAGTTTTCCTTTCTCTTTGGAGTGTTACAAGCTGTTCGTGAATAGATAAGATCCCTAAAGTTGCAAAGACTAAAGTCTCAAACCCAAAGAGATATTCTTTATAAAAGTTAAGACTGGTCCACGCCCTCCTAAAACGCCTCGTTTAAACACGCCCCCACATGTCTACGTCACGATGTGGGAAGATTTGCATAACCCCGCCCAAATGTTCATGCAAAGAAAGAAGGCATAACTTTATTGTGAGGACACGACTAGAAATCAGTGGTTAAGTTGTATTTACAACACTGTTCCAGAACAGTTCCACCCAAATATTCAGATGTGTCCAGTGCATTTCATGGAGGACTGTTTCCTGATATTGGGAGAGTAGACTAACTTTACAATGTTAGTGCACGGTTACGGAGAACCAGAGTAGGGGGCGCCATCTTAGTCCCATGCCCACCAGAGTGAGGGCGAGTGGGACCCGCGTCGCTCGAAAAAGCCCCTGGAGCTCAGCTTTCACGGTCGCTGTACTGACTCACAGTTTGTAAGTACGTTTTCATATTTAAAGAATTTGCCACCGATGATTCAAACGCGAGTTTTGAGCAGTGTAGAGTAGCGCTTGTTGTTTGTCGTTTCTCCGATCACAAATGCAGACATGGTTTTATGTTGACATGGTGCGATGCAACGCAACGCGTAAAAAGAC